CGGAATATTGAGTATCTCAACACTTTACTGTAAATAGCAAAAGCTGGAATTCCCGGTGGAGTACGACAAGCGAATAGACTCAACTCGACACATGTTTGTATTATGTTACGTACATGCACTGATGTGAGATCATATAAATCCAAAATCCAAAAACATCAGCCAATATAATTCCTAAGAGGTGTAAATAACGTGTGGTCTTCAGTGATCGTTAATTAATTATTACTCGGAGATCGTGAGATGTGGTCTGGTTTGAAGTAGGCTTAGAAAAACATTTTCTTTATCGTGCCAACGTTTCGATCTTTAAATTCACTAATTTCGTGGTCCGCTTGACCAATTAATATATTACAATTAATTAAGGTTTTTAGTTGAGATAAAAAAGTCAATGGCAAAAAGGAGGGAAAACTCAAAAGGTGGGGTTGAGATGGGAGGTTGGTGTTCGAGTGGATCGAGGTCACGATAGCTCAAGTGGTAGAGCAGCGGCGTATCAAGCCGAAGATCGTGGGTTCGAATCCCGCTCGTGCCATTGATTTATTTATCTCAACTAAAAACTTTAATTAATTGTTTCGATCTTTATTGAGATCATCTTCAGGGCCTGGGATTTATAAACATTGTTTAAATTATACAAATACACGTAAAATGTGAAAAAAAGGATTTATACAAGGATAGAAATTTTAGACTCAATCAAAGTATTTTTACCCACTCAAAGTGTGTGTTTTCTGTGTAGACGTATTATTATTGTGAGTGCCAGGGAGATAGGCTCTGAAGATGATTTCAATAAAGATCGAAACGTAGGCACGATAAAGAAAATGTTTTTCTAAACCTACATTACACCAGACCGCAACCCACTTTCTCTAGATAGGCATAAATAACATTAAATTAAATTTGCGATAAAAATAATGAATAGAATCAATATGGTTACGAATAAGTTTAGTTCACTATTGGCATTATCATTTTGCCTTTTTTTTCGTTTTTTGTTGTTTAAACTATCTTCTTGCTCATTCAAGGAGTAACGGTTGAGTGGCCATTCAAGTCGATCTACAGGCTGAGGAGTATGAGATCATGCTTGTAGAGGTACTCGATCCTCACTTGAACCGTGCGGTTGTGAGAACCCTTAAGTAGTGCAGGATTACGGAAGAGCAATGAGATCGTAGTTTTGTGTATTGCAGGCAGAACATCTCTATTCCACAGGCGTAACTCTCACAACGTTTTATTGTCGACTGTTAAATTAATTGTGAAGTGAAGCGAAGTAAATGAAAAAAAACCATTATATTGCGGTCCGCGACCCCAACAGTTAATCTGACCTTAGGCCTTCGTGTATGGCTGGAATTACTTTGCATTGTCCTTCTTCCTATTGTTTCTTTGAATGGCATTGAAATCTGAATCGTACACGTTTCAGGTAGTTTACTGATCGCTCCAAAGTAACGAACGGTAGTATTGTACTGCTTATTTGAATAATTTCTTGCATGAAAGTTATAACTTTGTTTTATTTTTCTCTAAGAGTGAATCTTACGATTTTTGACCTTTGATGTTCATTTATACATCAGTCCTCAACTTATTTGAGATAAATTCACTAATTTCGTGGTCCGCTTGACCAATTAATGTATTACAATTAATTAAGGTTTTTAATTGAGATAAAAAAGTCAATGGCACGAGCTGGATTCGAACCCACGATCTTCGGCTAGATACGCCGTTGCTCTACCAGTTGAGCTATCGTGACCTCGATCCACTCGGACACTAACTTCCCATCTCAACCCCACCTTTTGAATTTTGAAAAAAGGAGGGAAAATTCAAAAAGTTTTCCGAGTGGACCGAGGTCACGATAGCTCAAGTGGCAGAGCAACGGCGTATCTAGCCGAAGATCGTGGGTCGAATTCAGCTCGTGCCATTGACTTTTTTATCTCAATTAAAAACCTTAATTATTTGAGATACTTTTGTAAATTCATATCTTCGAACGAGAACGTGTCTTTGGAAGAGGTGGCTGTATGATCCGTGAATTTCGGCGTTGAGAGATATCTCAAGAAATATTAGATATTGTAGAGGGCCGAGGACGCTTCTCTGGAGAACTCCAGCTTTGGTCTGTTTAGAACAGGTTTGATTCTGAAAAGGTCCCGTTGGAGACTGTAAGAGGGTGTCATTCATTGCACCTCCAAGTAAGTTGAACTATCTTCGAAAGTGTCACGGATTGTATTGAAAATTCCGAGGGGTTGCTCTTGTGCTGTTTTAATTCACAATGGCTCTTTGAGACTCGTTCAGGTGAAAATAATTTTATTTACTAATTATAGTTGGTCACTACATATTGAATATGGCACGAATCGAAACTGATCAACATTGAAGTTGTACAGACAGAAAGTTTTGTTACAAGAACCACTACAATAATATTATATAACAAGGGACGTAAAGAACATTGTTATGTGAGGCTATGGTTTTTAAGAACAAATCAGTAAGGAGGAACAGAAACATTGCTGAAGAAACAATCTTAAAGGATAAAACTGATGTAGAAATCATTTAAGAACGTCAGAACAAATTTGAGGAACAGTTTATTATTTAGGAACTGCAAAATGAGAGGAATAAAGTAATAAGTTGTTAAATTAATTGTAATAAGTTAACAGCTTTATTAAAGGAAAAAAACAATTTCAATAAACCGGGCGTGGGTGGCCGCAACGGTTTAGGCGTTGACACGCGCTCATCACTGGAAAAGTAAAGGTCCCGGGTTCGAATCCAGCGGCCCTGCATTCGAACCCGACATACTTAAATGGGCTTTTTTTTTTTTTTTTAAACACCGGCACTCCGAGGGTTGATATAACCTTTGCTGTTGCGAACCCTCGTTAAAATAAAAAATAAAAAATAAATAAATAAAACAATTCAATAAACATTAAATCTCTAAAAGTTGTAGCAAAGCAATTTCAGATCTCAAGAGGATCATTTGTTTACGGTTTACGTTATTTAGTTAAGCATACTGCACAACTCAGATCCCGTATATATGTATGGATGATACAACCATCTGGAAAACCTCGAAGAAACATTGAACATTTCTTGATAGTTGTTCTCCGGCATACGTAAATTGATGGGAAGACGAGGAGGGCGTCAATAGAATTCAAATACCAGCAGCAATAAAAATTGACTATATAACAAAAAAAGTACATGTCTTTTATTGTCTCACACGGAATTGCGACTTTCCTATTATGCTGTTGAAATTTGGTCGTTACCGATTTGACCTACCTATCGTTGCTGGGTTGGTTTAACAGATGCGTTTCGCTATTTCTCCATCTTCAGTGTGCCTGTGTGATTCGGTAAAATTATGTTTCTTTTCTAAAATCGTGTGCGATTATCGGTGCCTCGGCTCGATTTTTTAATGATCCTTATTCCTTTTAATTGGTTAGCATTTTAGGTGGTGTAAACCAGGGCTTACCCAACTTTTTACCATTGGACCCCTTTAAAAGAACAAAATCCAGAGCGGACTTCGAATCTCGCTCGTGAAACTGACTTTTTCATCTCAACCAATACCTTACATAAAAATTAATTATAATTAATTAAGGTTTTTAGTTGAGACAAAAAAGGCAATGGCACGAGCGGGATTCGGCCCACGATCTTCGGCTAGATACGCCGCTGCTCTACCACTTGAGCTATCGTGACCTCGATCCACTCGGACACTAACTTCCCATCTCAACCCCTCCTTGAAAAATAGGAAAAAGGTGGGAAAGTTATTGGGTTAAGATGGAAAATTAAGAGGGTAAAAAAGGTGGGGTTGAGATGGGAAGTTAGTGCCCGAGGTGATGTCCGAGTGGATCAAGGTCACGATAGCTCAAGTGGCAGAGCAGCGGCGAATTTAGCCGAAGATCGTGGGTTCGAATCCCGCTCGTGCCATTGACTTTTTTATGTCAACTAAAAACCTTAATTAATTATAATATATTAATTGGTCAAGCGGACCACGAAATTAGTGAATTTAATAAAAATTAATTAATTATAATATATTAATTGGTCAAGCGGACCACGAAATTAGTGAATTTAATAAAAATTAATTAATTGAAAAAAGTTATTTGGTCAATCGGACCTCGAAATCTAACGGATTTAATAATTAAACTGAAGTATATCTTCACTAATGCTCTCCGCGGCCATTTCATTTGTCGCCGAGAATCAAATTGATTACACGACATTTGAAAATTGGCAACAAGGAGGGAAAAAACCCCAAGGGGTCCGCGAACCACAGTTTGGGAAGCTCCGGACTGTAAACGATGTAAGTGAACTGAATTTGTGTGTCTATGGGGTTTTTTTAGTGTTAATTATGTTATGGTTCTATATTTCCAGAATATTAAGCAGATTCAATTTTTCCTCTTTTTTTGTAAGTTTTGTAGTAGTTTGAAGCTTGTCTTTGTTGTGGAGTGTCTTTTTTCTATGAAGTGAGTTGTGTATTTTGATTTTTCGCCATTGGCCCGAAACCATGTCTTTGTACCTTTTATTTTGCATCATGTCTGTCCAATGTATTTGTCATGTACATGCCGTTCGGCTTGGTTATGTCTAAGTAGATTTTAAATTGTGTTCGTTGTTTTCAGAGCACGTTTAATTCCGAATTTGTTCAACAGATTTAGTTGTACATTTCATATTATATGTCCGTAAATGTGGTCTATTTGTTGTCTTTGTGTGAGAGCGTCTTGTTCGCCGTCTTTGTCATGTGGTTGTTGATTTTATGATGTGGTTAAGAAACACCATTACCGAACTTTTTACCGTTGAATTTATTCTTATGCTTAAATTTGAAAAACATTTTATCTGTTGATATTCAGCTAAAAAAAGACAGCAACGCGGACATTATTTTTACATTTTCTTACGTCCGCAGTACTTACCTTCCTGTGTTGTTACTTGAATACTTTTTGTCACCTGATCTTTTTATTTTAAGCAAGACGATCACTTACTTACCTTAATTCCTCTTTACGATAAAAACGGTCACTTGGAAAGATGAGAATAAATAATTTACCACACTATGTTTTTTTAAAATAAAACAATAACAACCTTGCAATAAACTTTATTTTAGTATACAGTTCGGATAGATGTATGAAAAACTATAGGATCACTTGACAGAATCTAATCTAACTCTTTGGCTACAATTGACGCCATCATTTTTAAACACTCCAGAATCTCTTTTAAATATTTTTTATGATTGCATCAACTGTAATAACTAAATTTTAAATCAGTATTACAATATATCAATGAAAACGACTTGTAGGTCCCATGGAATCGAAAAGGCCTAATAGGTCTGTCTTACTATAAAGATTTATATTTGCCTTTTGCATTCCTTAACAAAACATTGTAAAAGATAGTATCAACTAATAAAATAATGCAGGATTTTGGATGTAAACATATTTCTATTAACTTTTTTATAATTTGATTGTATATAAATAAGAAAACAATACAGCAAAAATTATATCCGTATGGTATGAGATATTTTAGCATAAAAATATAAATATATATGTATATGCATTTAACAGGGATTTGAAACAAGCAACATATTGAGAACCTTACCCCTGTACCGTTATGGCCAAAATATATATGCTTACTAATGAATAACTCATAATAAGATACCCTGTTTTATGCATTTTTATGTACAATAACAAGAAATCGATAAACCCTATAAATTCAGAGCAGTACATAGAGTTTAAGAGACAAGCTTTGTTCTCATCTATTTGGTCAACGTTTAACATTTTCGCTATTTATATTTAATATTAACCTGCATACCTTTTTAAAATAGTATTTGCAATATATACAGCATAATATTTGGCCGACTAAAAATCGTAGCTACAATATGTACATTAAAATAGTATATACAGAATTTTAGGATTTTTTGTGTTAATACAAACGAGTCGGGAATATGCTTTCAGGTATTGCTAGTGTTTTTTTCTCTGTTAGTACTGTGTTAAAGGTAAGGTAATTACATAGAATATACCACAAACAGCGGACAACAAAATTTATATAAATTTACAGAGAAATATTACTTCCGATTGCTGCCAATCGTGTTTTCCGTGTTTTGTGCATATGTTAGCATATACATTTCTATTATGCAATAATATTTTGATTATTTGTATAAGTGAAGAATATTGGGGAACAATCTAATGATTTCGATACAAAGCTTCAAAGCTTCTTCATTTTTTTTAAAGTTGTAACTACGTTTGATTTTACATCAGAGAACCTCGATTCGATTGGGCGTTTAGCTGTCCAACTTTTGGTCCGATTCTTTTTTCTCGTTTTGTGCTGCTTCTGAAAGTGTCATATTAATTACGATTACGGTTTAATTTTATGTGGCAATTGTGAGGAAGAGTGGTATTACCATGAACGGCTTTGTCTCGCCAATGTCGTTTGTTGTCTGCTAAACACGCAAGCCACGGCTTAGTCAGGACGAATGGTTCAGTCTCGGTTTCTGAAAAAAAAAATCACGAAATTCAGTTACTAAATCAGAAAACAAAAAGGAAAAGTTTATTTACCTAATTCTTTTTTTGGGTTTGGTTTTTCTGGAGCTAGGATAACCTCCAACATATCACTGCAGACTGCCATACTCGGGTCGACAATAAAGTCAATAAAGCCTATAACGACATTCCAATTTAATGATAATTACGAATATTCATTAATAGATTCAATTAATATGCGTCCAAGTCGGTAGGTTCGAATCTTACTCTTGACAGTTTTTCATTACAAAAATAACCATCGTGTGTATAAAGTGAATGTCAAAGAGAATCACACTTGATTAAAAATTTGTAATTGTTCTTACCGATTTGGGATTCGGCGACCATAATGTTGTTTCTATCACAGAGCGGACTGAACGGCAGGTTCAGCTCTCTCTCTTTGTCCCCTTGTCTGAAAAACTCTTCCAAAAGCTGTGTTGTCCATCTTTGATGGAGTTCCCAACGTTTTGCGGGATGTGATATGTCACAGCAATGTAGCACCAATGATAACGCTTTCGATTTTTCGATTCTGGTTAACAAAAGGAGTTTATGAATTAAGAACTAAACAATTGGAGGTTTTGATATCTTACGTGGCATCAGCGAGGGTGATGAGATTTTTCATCGTTTTCAACTGTTGAAAATGAAAGCTCATGTCTGTAGCCAAGACCATATCAATGACTAAAGTCCGAAACTCTCTGTATTCCTCTCTCGACAAATTTTGCAGTATATTACAATCGTCTTCCTTTAGGACCCTAAAATTTGCAATTTTTTTTGGCGTACTGTATCGCAATTTACCTCATCCCCTTTTCAAATTACCTGAAAGAAGAGCTTATATGGTGATTTTCCAAAACGGCCCTGTCATTATAGAGTAGAGCGGTTTCTGAACCGGACATAACGTGGAAATTGTTCGTCGTCCCCGTGTGCTCGAAGTCGTGGATCAAAGCGGCAAATAAAGTTGCGAATATCTCGAGATCAGTGAGCCAGTTCTAAAATTACAACCTATTATTAAAGAAAATCGTGTCATTCTTCGGTTACAACCGCTACTCTAAAAGTAATTTGGATTTTCATGTTTCAACCTCAAATTTAATAATTCATGGAACCCTGAATATCGAATTTTTGATTGCAGAATCTTGCTGTAAAAAAAGTCTAATACACTGCAAATAAAAGTGAACACACAATTTTTATTGAAACTCCAAACTCCGGATGTTAATAATAGTATATCCTTATCTTTAGTTATCGATTAAAAATATACGTGAGAAGAAATTAAGAAAAAAGAATGAATTTTTAAGAAGTTTTAAGAATTTAAAAGAAATTAAATCGATTGTTGCATAATAAACTGCCACTTTTACAACAAACGCTGGGTTTATATTTTAATCCGAAATGAACAGTTTGTTTATATAGGATTTAAAAATCAATGGAGTTTTTGGAAACAAGAATGATCCGTGCCGGAGTCTCACAAGGGATCATTCTTGGCCCCCTCTCTTTATAGTGCTACCTGCCTTTAACATCACCCTTATAACCTATGCGGACGATACCGCAATTTGATCACCTAACTTATATCCTACCCGTGGCATTAGAAACGACCTCCAGTATCCAGGAGCATACTGGGATTATCGAAGAATGGACTACGATGTGAAGTGAAACTAAGCGAGGACAAACGCTCCCAAATTACCATCAGTTAATCATTAGAGAAAAAAGCCTTGGCCTCGTCTATCTAAGCAAGTTAAATACTTAAATTGACATGCACGCACAAGACTTAAACGACAAGAACTCATCAGACAATATAAACATAGAATACTTCTAGGATCGAAGAAATCACCCATAAAAGTTCGAACAAATTAACACTACAAAACTCTAGTTCTAACTAGTTTTCGTGGTCCGCTACACCAATTAATATCTTTCAATTAATTAAAGTTTTTAGTTGATATAAAAAAGTCAGCGTCACGAGCGGGATTTGAACCCACGATCTTCGGCTAGATAAGCCGCTGCTCTACCACTTGAGCTATCGTGACCTCGATCCACTCGGACGCTAATTTCCCATCTCAACCCCACTTTTTTTTTACCCTCTTAATCTTCCATCTTAACCCCATAATTTTCCCTCCTTTTTCCCATTTTTCCAATGTAATCTAACTTAACCTTAATTAATTGAAAGATATTAATTGGTCAAGCGGACCACGAAAAGTAGTGACTTTAATACGTTTAAATGAAGTATACCTTCACTAAAACTCTCCGTGGCCATTTCTTTTGTCGCCGAGAATCAAATAGATTACAGGACATTTGAAAAATGGGAAAAAGGAGGAAAAATTCTCAAGGTGGGGTTGAGATGGGAAATTAGTGTCCGAGTGGATCGAGGTCACGATAGCTCAAGTAGTAGAGCAGCGGCGTATCTAGACGAAGATCGCGGGTTCGAATCCCGCTCATGACACTGACTTTTTATCTCAACTAAAATCTTTAATTAATTGAAAGATATTAAATGGTTAAGCGGACCACGAAAACTAGTGAGTTTTGTACAGTGTTAGTTTGTTCGAACTTTTATGCGTGATTTCGATCCTAGAAGTATTCTATGTTTATATTGTCTGATGAGTTCTTGTCGTTTAAGTCTTGTGCGTGAATGTCAATTTATTCAAACGTTAAAAATTTAAATTAAAAATTTAAACACCACCTTCCTGGACAAACAGTTAGCGGTCGCAAACCAATTTTGAATGATGAAGGATACTAAAGAATCCATCCCAAAGCAGATAATTGAATGTAAGCAGATGCACGGATTCAAGATTCAATAATTTTCAGGCATAAGTCACTAAAGTAAAAAAAAGACCGATATGTTCCGCACCAAATAACCGACGCCGTAAAGCCGAAAAGGACGAAAAATATTTCTACCCTTCTTAATTTTTTCAATATAACGAAAGAAAAATGGATGTTTTATTACAATTCGAAAAGGTCAGGGCCATGGTAGAATGTTAGCGACAAACCGTCTGGCAAAACCTAGTGCTGACCAACAAAAAGTAATGGGGACAGTATGATGGTCATTCATGACATCTCCCCGGGAACTGAAGAAACAATTAATTATGAAACCATTATGCTGACATTTCCAGGATTCAGCGTTAGTCACAAAGGCCCTTCCTTCATTACAATACCACATGTCCCAAAAATGCCATCACAGAAACTTAGAAAACTTGGATTTGAAGTTCTACTTCATCCACTTTACTCACCTGTTATAATCTTTCAATGGATTTTTTTCTTTCATTTGGCGTATTAGAGTTAAAAACGTCTAAACGTTGGATCTATTAAAATTATGTTTCAAAACTTTATTGATTTTTGTTTCATTTATTTTTCTCAAGCGGTAAAGGGTTAAGGTTTAAACGAGTCGGCCTTTTTACGACCTAGAACACCACGACTAATGTTGTGCAATCTTCATCGCGGGCTAGAGTCTAGAGATTGTCTCCAGATCCCACAGCTTTATGACTGACTATAATAAGACTATAGGACTGGCTGACTGTACTCTGCAGACTCTGGAGCCATATGTACATACTTGAAGCAGAAACAAAATTGAGCAGATATTGCCAGCAGCAATGGTTTCTAAGGGCTGCCATGTGTATCAACCAGGCCTTGGCTTTTCCTCTCCAAGGTGTATCTATAACAGAGGGCAAGCTCTGCTTGCAATATCTGCTCACTTTTGTTTCTGCTATGAGTATGTACATATAGCTCCAGAGTCTGCAGTGTACAGTCAGCCAGTCCTGTAGTCTTATTATAGTCAGTCTTGTGTATAGTGGTCCTAACACGTGCCAAATTAATAGTTGTGCTTTTTGTTTCTGCGATGATTTTTTTATGAACTTTTCCGCTTGGCTCTATGACAAGCCATTTCATAAAGGCCGCCAAAGCGACGTAAATAATCAATAAGGCAGAGTTCCAACGATTGAGGAGGCAGAGGAGAGGACGGCGGTAGGCATAAGGAAGAGCCACGCTGGATTTGGAGTTACTCGGTCGCTTGCATCTTTAGAAACAAGATAAAGTAAAAATAAAAGTGTGTGACGTTATCAAAACAAAAAAAACTGCTAGTGAAGAATTCTAGTGAAGTGGTGTTCGTTCATCAAGGTTCGTTACATTATACAATACAACTTGTCCAGTGAAAAGGAAACCAAAAAATAACTTTACACTTACTTACTTTCTATCATAAGAAAATATTCCCTTTTCCTTACTAAATTAGTTGTAACCATTTATAAGTTATATTCGATTCATTAATTTGTTATTAATATAAGAACCTTTTATTTTTAACGGGTACAGACTTATTACTTTATTTTATTTTATTTCTTATAACCATATTAATCCCAAAACGTTATAAATACACGCTCCCACAACGTTATAGCTCTTTCACATTCTTATTGAACCGAGGAATTATTCTTAACCCGTTATAATCCTATAAATCGACTGTTAATGGTGCAGTGCCGAAACGCGACTAACAGACCAATACAGCGAGATTAGGTTGATCAGAAACTACCGATTTCAGTCCTCTAGAAGCAAGCTCGGAATTTTATTAGATCCATTATTTTTAAATACAAATTCAAACTTCATTCCAGTCAACAAATAATTCCGACTCCATTGCACTGCACAGCTTGTTTCCGCTGTTCTCAGAGTATACACATTTATCCGGAGTCTGCAGTATCCAGTCGGTAGTACTACATTCTAATACTAACACGTCCTAGGTTTAGTAGTCTTAATATTCCCATTGAACCGATGACGAACTCTTAACCCATTTCAAAACAAGAATACATTCTTCGGTATCACATTGACAAAATTGTGTCGAGAAAGAAGGAAAGTACTTTATTTAATTAACCTTTTTTAATTAATAATTTAGTGTTTTTAGCCTCTAGAAAGGCCATTTTTTATGCAACAAACATTACTTACCATGAGGCCAGTTTTGCATAACATGTAATGGACGGTTTGTGTGACGTCTGCAGCATGAAGGTTGTTATGGTAAGGATTCTTGAATTTCCCATAACCTTCTTCGATTTTCAACAGGAAATTTTCCAAACTGGCTGGAACAATCTGTCAGGCAACAATTGCATTATTTATTCGATATATTAATGGATTTAGTACAACTCGATTGTTGGGAAAACAGTAAGGATGTGAAGGATGAAGTTTTGGATGTAGATGAGGGATGTGACCAAATGAAAGAAACTATTACAACTTATTAATTTTGCCAACTTTACGAGTATGTATTTCGCTTTCCTACAACAACAATTTTTATTATCAAGTATTACTCCAACAAAAAAAATTCCCTTATAATTTAACAAAATAATACTAAAAACGTAAAAGATCATGATGGACTCGCCATAAAAAGATCTTATTTGTTCAAGATTAGTTCTTTTATGAAAAGATTTTTAGTCTGTTTATAAAAAAACTGCTCAAAAATGAATAGGGGTATTATTTGTGATTTATTGTTATTCTATTAATTTGCATTAAATTAAGCGATATATTGTTGTTAGTTGAGTAAAAAAATAGAAAAAAAGAAACAAATGTTAATCCTCATTTTTAATAACGGATTTACTTAAGAATAGCAAACATGAAGATTATTCATTTTGTAAACAAACACCTTTTCTCATCTTTCTTCATTTTAACCCAGTTGTATCCTTTTTAATCATGGCAAGACATCATCTTGAACCAGAAGTACGCAATATTATTGTGAGAATCGTTTCTCAGAGCGTGGTCTCCCGAGAGACTGGAAGTGCTAATAAAAGTGGGAGTGGATCTCAGCGCATTACGGCGCCAAGGGAGGACAGAAATATTGTCATTGGTGCAAGACGAAACCCTTTCCATAATTCCCGCCAGATCGAAGTTTTGACAAGGCAACACAAAGATTCGTAACTTGTGGGAAGTTGGCCTCACATCGAATGCTCCCACAGGAGAATTTGATGCATGCGTTCCCAAATACTCGGTCGTCCTGAAAGGACAATGAAGATCTTCAGCGTCCGTACCTGGCTCATGGCCTTACCGGATGTTTTGATTCTCAAGATGAGAGATGACGCACCTCCGCTCACGAATGAATATGTGTTACAGCCGCAAGTGTAGAAGCTGTCCCAGCCCCGAGGGGCCAAGACTAACCTCACACCCTGCTTGCCCATTCCGAGTTATCGGGTCCACATTAAGCATCGAACCGTATGCCGCGTGTAAAGGGTTACCCCAGGTGGCTGAAATGCACCAAATATGGCCTCCCACGCCCTCTAGAAAAGACCATTCTATCTCCCAGAGTATTGAGGCTCCTTCAGCGTAAGAACTTTCGGAACCGGTCCGGCCGCGGTTTTGTTTAAACTGGAATTGCTAACCACCCCCTAGAGGAGACTGCCTTCGGTAAAGGACGCCCATGTAGGCACCACCAACCACTATCCGCTCCCATCCGCCACTTCTTACGCATTCGAGGGACTCCGTCAGCGGAGTCTGAGCGTCCTCAACGCTATACGCTTCGATGTCCGATCCTTCGTCCCCCATGAGGCCGGGGTTGCACACGCAACTGCTTGGGCGGAGGTCACAGATAGAAGAACAGCCTCTCCTCTAAGTTCCTGCCAGGAGCATCACCACTAAGCCCTTATGAACACGTTCCCATGTAGCCCCTAACATCCTTAACCATCGGCTAAGGTATAGCGAGAGCCTAGAAGAGAACACAGATTGGAATGATGTTATGTTTATTGATGAGTCGCGTTTCTTTCTGCGTAGTGATAGCAGGCGCTGAAGGGTCTACCGAGAACAGGGCATAATGCCTCAGTTCGTACTCCTTTCAGTGCAGTTTGGTGAAGGCGGTGTAATGGTTTGGGCTAGTATTTACCCTGGAGGACGAATTGGAACGTAACCTCACCGCAGTCAGTTATGTCCAAGAAATTATCGAGGAAAACATCCTCAAACCAGGGATCTCATTGGCAGGGATTTTCGATTTCTGGATGACAATTCCAGACCTAAGAGAGGCAGAGTTGTTCATAAATGTTTATAAAACCTGGGAATTTACCATATGCCCCTTCCCCCATTGTTTCCAGACCTCAATACCAATGGGCACATATGGGATGCGTTGCAGAGAAGGCTTTTCGATCACTATCCGCAGCCAGCAAGAACTCAGTGTGACGTTACAACATTTATGGAGTGAAATTCCGTATGAAATTAGTGACAACGTTATTAACAGCACGGCTAACGGGTGCACAGAGATTTTACCCAACAGAGGACGTTATACATGGTATTGATAGTTTCAAAAAAATATTTTGTCCAATAAACAAAATTATGGTATTAAAAACTTTTATTTTGTTATTTTTCAAAAGCCCTGATTAAATTTTCCTTCAGTAAAAACCACAAAATTGGGAATACTACAAAATTGGTAATAATTGTATTCATGTTTGAGCAGTTTACATCCAAATAAGAAAACATCAAAATATAGTTAAGTTGAAAACAAAAACTTATCAGATAGAAAATATAATATTATATATTTGTATATAATTATAATAGGCTTACTTTGAATTTGTGCATGATTCCATAACGATTCAATAAATCGTACGATAAGAACTTGATCGGCTGTCCCCCGGAAGAATCGTGAAGGGCAAAAACGTCAAAAGACCATTCATCTAATGTCTGGAAAATTGATTAAAAAAATGAATATTACAGCGAATAATTTCCGATGAAACTATTTTAACAAAAACCGATTAAAAGTAAAGGAATTTGTCAGTTCAGACCTTGAGCACCTTGACCACTTCCGGTGGAAACTGCATCATCGCAGCCGTGTTTACGCGACGGTAGATCCTGTCGACGAAAATTCCCGCCCTGATCGCATGGGCCACAGATTTGAATTTGGGCTTTTCGTCGCTTTTTCGTTTTGTCGTGCCCAGTTGGCGTGTAAACGTCGAAGCCAACCATTCTCTCACTTCTGGAGGCACTGCGTCCGGTTGTACTTCTGACAACTCGTCGTCTTCTTCCGCCTGCCTCCTGTTTGAATACCAGACGGCAATATCAGTAACAGTTCAAATCGGTCGAATCCATCATCCTCCTACATTTACATCGAACAAATTTTACTGTTTTGTTTTATTCGGATTTAGATTAAACTAGTACTGCTTGGACACTATTTAACGGACAAAGATAAATTTAGATAGGTTTATTTATAAATGATGAGCAGAGTAGAAAGATCGATTTTCATTAAGTGCGATGTGCTTTCTATTTGGAGTAATATCAATACATTCCGAATACAAATTACAATCCAATTATAATATTGAATACAAATCCTTTAATACATTTAAACTGCTGAATTTCTAGTTTTCTCAGTTATACAATTAATTGTTTCCTATTTAATTTTATGGTCAGAAGCGATAAACAAACAGAAAAAACTTAATTCAAATTTCAAAGCTGAATTTGGGCAATATTGTAAATGTGTTTTACTTATGAGTTTTTGTTAATGACCTCTACGTAAATTTTAATTTTTAACATTTTGTTAATGATGATAGATGACTTGCTACTCTGCTCGATATTGTGTACAACTTGCTACATTTAATTCAACAAGACTATTTAATTTTGTTTTTTTAGTTCTAAAACTGAGTAGATACAAATTTACGTAAGGAAAATATTAGTAGATCAAGTGCTAAAGAATCAGGTTATTCATGAGATAAAACCATGGCCAAAGTTTGGACTAATTTGCATTATTTATGTTCGGCTATTTTGCTTGAAACAATTTTAAAATAAATATGACCAAAGTATCTAAAAATGACATTAAAAAAACACTGACTTTATTAAGGTAAATTAACCTATATAAATTAAAATAAAAAGAAAAAACTGAATTTAATATGTTTCATCCATATTTCATAATTGTTTTTTTTTTTTAATGTTTTAAGATTAATCTCATAAAAAACCTTGATTTTTAAAACTGATTGAATTAAGTGAATGGAAGATATGAACTTTATATTAAAAATAATTCCCAATGAATAAATAGTAAATTATTTGTTAAAAACAAAAATCGAAACCTCTGTCATCTTAAGAGCGAGCGGTATGAGCAGCGTTTTCCTCAAATAAATAATAAAAGAATCAACTAAGAAAAAGATTGAACATATTTTCCAAATTTTTTCATAGTACTGTGAACATAATACAGTGTACAAATAATACAATTCACTGGTAAGATAGCACAAACACGTGAAAGACCGCACATTATAGAACACAAATACGGGAAGAGTGAAAAAGGGGACACATATACCAATGCATGCTAACTTTCTCAATGGTAAAGAATTATTGAAACTGTACATCGAGAGAAGGCAAACATTCACAGGCATGCTTTGTCACAAACATGTAGAGTAACAAATTTGGTAACACAGATCATCTCATAAAACACATGGGATCTACAGGAGAAGTCTACACGTGCAATTACTTCACCTCAATGTTCGTTGAGAAGTCATAACACTGCGAGTAACATCCATTAATATTTGCTATTCGAATCAAAGGGGTACCGGCTATTTTAAGAGAAAGCAATTTCAAATCTCCACATCATCTAAACGTCAGCTTCTGCCATATTTCTCTATCTAATTCTTCTCTAAATACTATGTCTCCAGTTTTTACAAAATAAGTGTGTTCGGTTTAAAAATTACGAGTCTATTTCCTTAAGTCTACCGGTATTAACTATTTGAAAATTTCTCTCGATTCTAAGAATATCAAAGACAAATTTATTTCATTCGATTGTTCATGTAATTATGCTTCATTATAAATTAAAGTACGTTTTATCTCTATTTCTCCTACAAAATAATTTTTGATCTTCTAAACTCCAAATTCGCTTAACAAGAAGTAGAATTATGCCGTTGTAATAAAGTGTGTGTTTCTTAGCGCCCTGTTGTTTCATAATTTGTCAAAGTCGTGAAGGGAGGTCAAGAATGAAGTAGAAAAACATCTTTTTAATTTTTTTGCCGATGTTTCGACCTTTATTCGGGTCATCTTCAGGGCATTAAAGCCCGGAACACACTTACCCGATGCAAGGCCATGCGACGCCACCCAATGCTACCCGACGCAAATCCAAAGTCCGATTTTACATAATATTGTATTACCCCCTTGCACATTTGACCGATGCTATGCTATGCTACCCTACTCTACGCTATGCGATCCCCACTGTCCAGATTTTCGTCGGGTAGCATGGAGTATAGTCGAAGACAAAAGGACCAGACACTCATATTTTTATTCAAACTACATGTATTAATGCCGTCATATTATTTACAACATCCTTATTTTAATATAAACCAAAATTAATCGAGATCAAAAATTCATCAGTTTTTATTTAAAAAAATTAATTTTAATGGTTTGATAGAAAATTGATCAAAACACATTTTTTGAGATAATGAATTTAAATAACAATTTATTACAAGGTTTTACTCATAAAATTTAACTAACAATTTATTTCATGGTTTTGCTCATAAAATACACCATTTTTTCAAGTAGCATCAGAACAGGACACTTATATTTTTTATAGTTCATTTCAAACTGAGTATATGTAATTTTGTCGTTATATTAATTACGACATGCTTATTTTAACGTAAATCAAAAATTCGTAAGTTTTTATTAAAATTATTTAATTATGATGGTTAGATAGAAAATTAATCGAAACACCGGAATAACTTTATTTAAAACAATTAAGTTTAACTAACCATTATTACATGGTTGTGCTCATAAAGTTTAACGGACAATTTATTACAAGTTTTTGCTCAAAATAGTGCATTAAGAACAAAAGAGGCGTTGCGATTGTGATAGTGATTATTGTGATACACGCTGTGTGGCTGTGCGCTTGACGGCGCATAGATGTGCACACACTACCAAAACATGACAAGGCGTCGAGTAGCATCGAGTAAGTATGTTCCCAGCTTGTTTGGTGCTATCCTTGTGGTGGCGGATTGGTTTTGTGTGAAAGTGTTGTGTAACTTCAAGAAATTATGTTGTAGTAAAGATTAATTTCCAATAATAAAATACTTCAGATATAAATACTTCAAATATAAGTTTAGTAAAGTTCATTTTTTCAGTCGTAAATACGAGAAAGCGTTGCTATAATCAATAAAAAGTAGTAAAGTGTTATATTATTTTTTGAATAAGGCTAGTTAAAATTAAATGCAATATATTGTAATTATTTTTTTCTTTGTTTGTGTTGATCTGATTGATTTTGATCCAGTTGAACAACCAGTGTTGACAAACTTGCCCACTTTTTTAGTGACCTGTTGTTTCATAATATGTTGAAGTCGTGAGGAGCGGCCAATAATGAAGTAGTTAAGAAAAACACCTTTTTCATTTTTTGCCGACGTTTCGACCTTTATTCGGGTCATCTTCAGGGCATTAAGTGTGGTGCTTTCCTTGTGGTGTCAAATTGGTTTTGTGTGAAAGTGTTGAGTGACTTCAAGTAATTATGTTGTAATAAAGATTCATTTCCTATAATAAAATACTTCGAATGGGTTAAATGTAAGTTTAGTAAAGTTCATTTTTTCAGTCGTAAATACACTGAGAAAGCGTTATAATCAATAAAAAGTAATAAAGTGTTATACTATTTGTTAAATAAGGCTAGTTAAAATCAAATACGAGAATAGTAATTATTTTTTCTTTACTTTGTGTTGATCTGATTGATTTTGACCCAGTTGAACTGTGTTGACAAACTTGCTCAAAGTTTTAATTATAGCACTCGGATGAACGCCGGGAGACATTTGAGGTTCATTTGTGAATTAATTCTAAAGACGAAATATTGAATGGGGTGGTAAAATAAAGGGCTCGTTGCATTGAGTTAGTTCATCCTGCATGCCTGCTCGTTTTCCCCCTAGGAATGGTATTCCGTCTCAATTAGTGGGAGAGCCTTTAAAAGGCCCTTTCGGATGAGGTCGGCCCCTCCTCTAACACATTTTTGGCAAGAACGATTCTAAAAAATCCAATAACCAGCCGAGAGGCGGTTACCCCGTGACACAAAGGCCAGGGGTAAAGTATATGTGAATTATAACCCTTTGGAATTCTGCAGGTGGAGAAAAATTATCGATATCTTCGATCGATTCGTTAATAGCATTTTCTTCAATTGAGACTTTTCTATTGAAATGTTTACTCATACTTCCGGTTATGTTTCAGTACAAAAAACTGGATTAATACGTATATTCGTTAATAATTTTTCTGAAGCCAGAGGGATCCTTTCTCAAAATTGGATGAATACGTTTTTATTTCTGAAGTAATCAAAAAATGTAGAAATGGGCCAAAAGAAAAGGCAAATGGGCGGGAAAGAAGAATTGTCCCTCTACCATCAAGATTCCGTTTCTCAACAAAAACCGATTCCCTCAACTAAGATAGGAGACAAAGAAAGATAAGAAAAATGCCAACCCCGAAATAAATGAAAGAGCAAGACATTGCTTTATTCATCGGCCAGTAAAAAGTATTTTTCTCGCAAAAACTAGGGTCAAGTACTAATAAAACTAGATACAGTCTGTTACCAAAATTATTTGGGGAGTTCCTACTTTTCAATAAATCGTTTCGTTGAATTATGCTAGGTTTTTATTAAATATTTATTTTGAATAATGGTTTATTAGCACCTTATTTATTTTGAAATAGTTTCGACGCACTATTGGTGGCATCCTTTTCAAGTGTTTCGTTGAAGCTATAACATAGTATAATAAAAAAAATTAAAACGCTAAATATACTTTCTGTAAGTATAACAATGTCTTCAAGGGGGTCCTTCCAGAAACATTTTGAGGAAAAAAATTTTGATTTGATTTTGAACAACATTTTTGTTTTTTGATTGAAAACATTGTGATTGAAAAAAAATTTGATAAAATGCTTAATTTACCAACTCATACACAAAATCATTTTTTGTACTTAGAGCTATAGTTGTTCCCAGTTTTTGTGTATACCTTAAAACTACCTACACATTATTTGCGTAATTGTCTCAGTCTACCATCAAAACGGTACCCCAATTATTTTGTAAATCAAATTAAGCTTAAAAATGT